CAGAACATGACTGTGTCACAGCAGCAGCCTCCTGTGCAACAACAGCAACAACGAACAACACCGTTAAGTCAGCAGCAAGGACAACAGAGTGGTTCGCAAGCACAGCCAACACAGCAGCAGCAAACAACGGCAACAGGAACAGGTACCACCCAGGGACAGCCGCAGGAAACAATACTCGGCAGTACTGCATCGGTCGGTTCTTCAGTTTTCAGCATCAATCCGAATGAGGAATTATGGGTCGAAACGAAGAGTGCTGAAGGAAAGGTGCGATGCTGTTTATATTTGTATAACAAAATTCAAAATGTTCCCTTGTAAATGAGTATCCTTTGTTATTTTCGGCTTTTCTTATTTTCAAGCTATGATAAGTTTATAAAAGTAGAAGTTATGTAGATTCGACTGAGATCAGTCATAAATTTCATCGGTTTCGTATGCCTTACAGTAATGACATCCTGGTAGATGTAAAGTTTCGTTTTTCTTTTGGTGCGACGTTGATAGACTATTGACTCGTCATTATTTGTGGGAATGGGGTTCGATATAAGCATTCTGCCAGTCAGGATCTAGTTTTCCAAGTTTTTTAGCACTATAAGAGCTGTTAAGGAAAATAAATTAGCTGTCATTCAGCGAACGATGAAGAAGGAAAGTTCATCGTCTTCCTTTGGCACACGCTCCAAGTAAACAGTTTGAGCCGTGGTCTTGATTGACTGATGAACGTGATTTTTAGCTCTTCCATATACGGCGTCAAGAAAAAATCAATAGGCTATATTGCTCTCCCGAGAGACAGCTTATGAGTTGATTTCCCTTTCACCGTAAGTGTCCCAATGGTATTCCTGAAGATGCCGTGATGACCAATGGTAAAACTGCGTTCTCATTGACAAAGCTGGGAGGATATTACATGAAAGATAGGAAATGTGTCAAGTTACGACGATAACGTTGATGAAAGAAGGAAGGTGATAGTGTGGGGGTGGAGTTCAAACCTTGGCAGTTCGAGATGACTATTATCGTTTGTGTGTACCTCATTTTCCACTTCTCATCTCATCACAACAGCTGCCATGGGTTTTAGGCCGGGTCAAAATACTGGAAGAAAAAATCGCAGTCACACGCCAGACCTTGGTCAAGTGGATCAGTTATGCTGAGGGCTTTGCACTGTCGCTCCTTGGAGTTTAGTCAAATGTATATCTAGAAGACAAAAGCAGGCTAGCTATTTTAAAGCATGACCAATAAGTCAGTTTACATTAAAGTTTTCGAGTGATATACTGATTTTGATATTATTGGGGTTTGAGGAGGAACTAATTTTCATGTTTTGGAAGGTGATACTGTTCAAACAGCCATTATCATCTATTTGAAAACCGGAGTTTTTTTAAAAACGTATTCAGTGCCTTATTTTCTAGATTTACTATTACCATGCTCGTACGAGGGAGTCAGTTTGGGAAAGACCGCAGAACGGTCACGTAATCACACAAGCGGAAATAGAGCAGCTAGCAAAAACGGCCGGCGTTGGGGGCCATGGTGGATTTCATGGAGCGGCTAAAACTGGCGATCAGGGTGCAGTTCTCTCAGGTGACTGTGGAGCAAGTGGTGCTGCTTTTTCACCTTTGATTGTATATACCTTATCGCTGTTTGATTTGTAGCCTCTCAAGCGAACGTCGTTCCAAGTCAGGTGATGCCTCAGCCAAACGCTGGTGTAGCGCCCGTTTTTCATGGTGGAGGCTTTCCACCTATGGTGTCACCTGGCAAGTGCTTTTCGACTTAATGTAAAAACTTCACATGAATTTTTAATTGGTTTTAGGTCAATGGCCATTTCCTCCGCCTTTCGTTGCAGCTGGTATGCCGCCACCTTTCATGACAATGCCTGGCCAGCCAGATCCTGATGACCCGGCTTCCGTGTGGTCTGAGTACGTTTCACCGGACGGTCGAAAGTACTACTTTAATTCCGCAACTGGCGAAACGACCTGGGACAAACCTCAAGTTCTAAAGGACAAAGAGGGTATGTATCAGTATGTTGTAACCTTGATTGCTGAACTAAGGTCGAAAATTTGCGCGGCATGTGAATAACTAAACAACCCTGCATATGAATGGAGACCTCTTTCGGCTGGAGTTTTCACTTTTCTCATTAGTTAGTAAGCTTCACAAATTTCTTCATTCTTGTGCGTAAAGGCCAGTAGTGCGATGTTGCGCCAATCACCATTCTGGCCAATAATTTTGATCCTGATTATTCATATGTAGCAATCGTTCCCTGTTCGTTACATTTCTAGTCCACATCCGTGGTTTAGATAACCAAGTTGTTTCGAACATGTCGCTATTTGTCTGGTGCCGTCGCAGTCAATATTATGTCTCTGATATCTCATAGTTACTGGTTCGATCCACTATTCAAATTTTTTAATATATCTTCGCGGTTACGTCTGATTGCTTTCTGATTGTGCTCATCAACTTTGGTCTGCAGTGGCCTTGATGTCGATGTGGTCAATATTCCTTATATTACAAGTCTTGAAGTCGATCTCTTGCACTCCATCTCTTGCGTCTCCATGGGTAATCCGATCTTTCACCTTCGTTAAGAGTGATGTTAGCTTCCTTTTCAACTGGGATGCAGTTCTGATATACGCGGAGTTAATATTTCGCCCTATAGATTCAAACAAACTCGGAATGTAGGTTATGTGTAGCTAATGCATATCTTGTCTCTAGTTCTAGTCTTTGCTGATTTTAGGTTGATTTAATTCTTGATGTATCCATTTCGCTAATCTTTTCATTTAGCCAAGAATGGGGTAGTGTCACCGTTTTAGTTTTTGACAGTGAGCTTTGTTTTCGGCCCTTTGTTGTTGCAGTATTTAAAGAGTTACTTTACGTTTCTCTTCAAACAGATGGTAAACGTTTTATAAACGTGGCCTGTTCCTAGCAGTACAGCGTTAATTCGGAAAGTTCACCAGGTTTATGAAGAGTGCTTTGTTTTTCAATGAGAATTTGCAGTTGACGGACATGAAGAGATTAAAAGTATGGAGGCTGTCCTTGTTTATCCTCAAAAACAGTACGACTGCTTCACTGTTTTTTGAAATGAATATTTTTGGAAATTTGTCTGGATCGGAGATCAGAACAATCCCACAGCTGAAAAAAACAGAATGGCCTTTATTACCGATAGGCGTCGACGCTGATTTAGGGTGAGCTTTGTACGTCGAAGGGAGTTTAAGCCTTCGAGGATTGGTACAATAATTTGTGACGCGATTTTCGTGATTTTGGACCTTTCTTTCTTCCTAGGCTATTAAATGAGAGGAAAACTTCGTTTGAAGAAAGCAGAATAATGCACGCAACAGTGCTCACTAAAGTGTTGATACACCATTTAAAAAATTGAACCAGATGGCTCTCCAGGCTGGTGGCATGGCCTGAGTTTGGATTGGGTGTGGTTCTATTCAGATATGCTTTAAAATCGTGATGTTATCTGTGATCTGATATTTTGAACGACCATATTATTCCACAGAGAAAACACTTAAAGAATTTCTGATAAACAGACAGTG